GTAGCAAGACACACCCATGCACGAGACACAGACCCTTGAACCCAAGAAGGATGGGGAAAGCTCTACCACATTTCTGCGACTGAGCGACTGAGCACCTCAGCACCCAGCCGGGGAGAGTGACCCAGTGTAAGGTTGGTCTCCTACAGCACATGCCTATAATCACAGTGACCTGGTAGGCTGAGGCGGCAAGTTCAAAGCGAACCTCAGCAACTTAGCAAGGCCCTAAGCAACTTAAGGAGAACCTGTCTCAAAATAAAAAAATCAAAAGAGCTGTGGACATAGCTCAGTGTTTAAGTGCCCCTGGGTTCAATCATTTGTACCAAAAAAAAAAAAAAAAAAAAAAAGACAAAAAGAAAAATAAAAAAAAAACAGCTTTAGAAAGATAAAAACAGTCTTTTGTAATAATATTGGGCACAGAAGTAGGCCTCACAAAGCAACATCCCTCTCTCTGACTTTCTCTTGATCTTTCACCTGCTCCTTTTTTTCTCCTGAGCAGGCCATATAAACTAGAATTTCTCCTCTCTAAGTAGGTCAGAGAAACTAAAAATATACTCTCATCTTCCTCCACCTTCTCTTATAGTTGGCCATAGAGAAAATTTCTGACTCACCTTGTCTGACAGTAGACTATAAGACTCCCATTTCATATGGCATTTGCCAGTAAATGGATGGAACTGGAGACTATCATGTTAAGTGAAATAAGCCAGTCCCAAAAAAATAAAGTCCATAAGCACTGGCTTATTTCACTTAACATGATAGTCTCCACAACTAATCCACAACAAGGAAGGGTCGGAAGGGGAAGAAAAAAAGTTCACTGGATTAGACAAAAGGGAATGAAGGGAAGGGAGGAGCGTTGGAATGGGAAAGACAGTAGAATGAATTGAACATAACTTCCTATTTCCTATATGAATACATGACCAGCATAACTCCATATCATGTACAACCAATTAGGATCCCAATTAGAATAAGTTATATTCCTGTATATATGATATGTCAAAATACACTCTACTGTCATGTATATCTAAAAAGAACAAACAAACAAAAAAGACCCCCGTTTCAGAGGCGTCCTGCCCCAAACTCAGGAGTAAGGAATGTTGCAGAGAGGGCCATGAAGAATCTGAAGAGACGGGCCTTGCTGGCTTTCCCCATTCAGTCTGTTAGTATTAGATCATACCCTGTTTCTGCAATCACATTTCTATATTATTGTCCATGCTTCAATCATGCTTATCCAATAAACTCTCCATGAAATCCCAAAAGGACAGGGCAGAAAGCTTCTCAATAACTCAACAGGTGGAAGTTTAAAGGAAGGTGAGCAAGAACTATAGTGTTATCCTTGAGTTTTGTAAACCACTTCAGTGAATTAATCAAACCCAAGGAACGGGTTGTAGAGACCTTAAATGGAAGTTAGTCAATCATAAATTCTAGAGGCTTGGACTTAAGACTTGTGTTTGAAGTGGTGAGTACTTTGGTGGGACCCAGCTCCTACTTGTGGGACTTGATACTATCTCCAGGTAACAGTGTCAGAACTGAATTGAATTAGAGAAACTGAATTTGTTTTTCAGAGTTAATTGTTAAGGTTACCCTGGGCTGGGCATTGTGGCACACAACTATAATCCCAGTGACTTGGGAGGCTGAGGCAGGAGTATCCCAAATTTGAGGCCAGCCTTGGCAATTTAGTAAGACCTTGTCTCAAAAGAAAAAAAAAAACAGTGTGTTTGGGGGGTGCTGGGGTTATGGCTCAGTGGTAGTGCAGTCGTCTGGCATGTGTGAGGCACTGGGTTCGATCCTCAGCACCACATAAAGATAAATAAATAAAAAAATAAAGGTATTGGGGCTGGGATTGTGGCTCAGCGATAGAGTGCTCCCCTAGAACGGGCAGGACCCGGGTTCGATCCTCAGCACCACATAAAAATAAAGGCATTGTGTTGTGTCTATCTAGACCTAAAAAATAAAAAAAAATCTTAAAATAAATAAATAAATAAAGGTATTATGTCCATCTACAATTAAAAAATTATTTTTTAAAAAAGGACTGGGGATGTAGCTGAGAGGTAGAATGCTCCTGGGTTTGATCCCTAGTACTGCAAATAAATAAATAAAAATAAGCAAATTTTTAAAAATTAAAATGTAAGATGGGCTGGGGGGTCAGCAAAATCTACGTTCAGCTAAGGTTGAGAAAGAAAACAATTTCTGAAGACAGAAAGTGGGCTTAAATCTAAACCCCATTATTCATGAGCTGTGTGATTCTTGGGCAAGTGAAAATAGGGATAAATTTTTATCTCCCAAGGTTGTAATGCATAGACAGAATGAATAATAAATTGTTAGTGGTAAAAAAAAAAAAGGTAGAATGAGATGGACATCATTACACTAAGTACATATATTAAGACACAAATGGTGTGAATATACTTTCTATACAACCAAAGATATGAAAAATTGTCTCTATAGGTGTAATATGAATTGTAATGCATTCTGCTGTCATCTATAACAAATTAGAATAAAATATTTTTATTCTAATTTGTCACATGCAGAGGACTTCACAGTCATATTTGTTTGTTTGTTTTGTTTTTGAGATAGGGTTCTCCCTATATTGCCCAGGCTGGCCTTGAATTCCTGGGCTCAATCAATCTTCCCACCTCATCCTCCCAAGTAACTGGGATTTATAAGTGTGGGACACCACTGCACCAGATCATAATTATATTAAAAAAAAACCACTTCGGTAGCTGATCTAAATACCTATAAGCAAAATTGAGAGACTCTGAAACCAGGGAGACCAGTTGGAACTTGGTTACTGTATACCTTAATGCTTTCTTACTTTTGAGACCTAACTTCATCCTGAGCTTCCTCCAGCTTTTGGAGATTTGGTGAACATTAATTGAACTGAAAAGAAGTCAAAGCTTCCCAGAATTCCTTTAGTTCTATCACTGAGCTACATCTCCAGCCTTTTTTATTTTGAGACAGTGTCTAAGTTGCCCAGGCTGGCCTCAAATCTAATGATCCTCCTCTGAGAAGTTGGGATTCAGGCTTGCATCATCATGCCTGGCCGCAAATGCTTTTAAAATCCTTTTCTCAATAGGTTCATACCCCTCTAAAGCCACTACTAGTTATAGGAAAAAAAGGACAGATTGTGAGGGCCTGGAGTGAGGAAGAGGGACCTGAATGCTAGCTTTTCTTTCTTCAGTGGGCTCAAAATAGAAAATGAGGAAATGCTTAAGACAAAAGAGACTCTCCTTAACTCTGAGTGCTCTAGATGCTTCAGGCAGCTCTTTGGTCTGGAAGGAAGAAGTTAAAGGAAAGGGAACATCATTATTTGAAAAACTTTCTAATAAGACATGTTGTGCTGCCACTGTGGCTATAAAGACTACCGCCTTCAGAAGTTGGCCTGTGCAAATGTGGCTGCCCTGCCAAGTGCAAAAGAAAGTACAACTAGAGTGCCAAGATTAAAAGATAAAATACCACTAGGATGGGTCAAAAAAAGGCACCTAAAAATTATATACTGCAGATTCAGGTATGGAGTACATGAAGAAACAACTCCAAAACCCAAGAGGGCAGCATCCAAATCACTTTGTTTAAATGATTAGCCACCCAATAAATGTTCTGTTTTAAAAAAGAAAAAAGTAAAAGAGAGAGAAATTAAGTGAATATGACTGATGGATATTCAGATCTAGAAAAAGTGTCTCCACTGCCCGGGGACTTAGGATGTATCTATTGAAGGCAAATTGGATGCAAGAGCTCTAGAATTTGGTCAACCCCTTCCAGAGGTGGGTGTTTGGCCATAACATCCAGATGAGGGCTGGGGTTGTAGCTTAGTGGTAGAGTGCTTGCCTACTACGGATGAGGCTCAGGGTTTGATGCTCAGCACCACATAAAATAAAGGTTAAATTCTTTTTTAAAAAAATCCAGATGATTCCTCAGAACTGTGAAGAGCCTTGGCAGCCAGCTAGCAACTTTAATTTCTGAGTCTTGTTTATCTGTGAAATGAAATATTTGGACATACCCTACTCTCCACCACAAAGTGCTAGATCGAACCCAAGGACTTGAGCACATGTATGCTAAACAGGCTCAATTAATGCTTGCTGATTTATGATATAAGAATAGTTATTAGTAAGGTCCCATACAGTTGGGCGCGGTGGTTCATGCCCATAAAACCAGCTTCTCAGAAGGTTGAGGCAGGAGGATTGTAAATTCGAGGCCTCCTTAACTTTGTAAGACCCTGTTTCAAGACGGAAAACAGGGCTGGGGATGTGGCTCAAGCGGTAGCGCGCTCGCCTGGCATGCGTGTGGCCCGGGTTCGATCCTCAGCACCACATACAAAGATGTTGTGTCTGCCGATAACTAAAAAATTAAATATTAAAATTCTCTCTCAAAATGGAAAACGAACGAAAAACAGTGATAGAATGTCCCTGGGTTCAATTCCCAGTACCTGCTCCCTCACACAAAAGTAAGGTTCCTTACAGGTACACAGTTTCTTCTTATTCGTCTCTTAATTTAATCTCAAGGGGTACTACTCATGGAGAAAGCAAAAGTTATTTTATCATTATTATTTTATTAGGTACTGGGAATTAAATCCACAGGCGCTTTACCACTAAACCATATCCCCAGCCCTCTTTATATATATATTTTCAGACAGGATCTCTCTCGCTAAATTGCTTAGGGCCTCGTTAAATTGCTGAAACTGGCCTTGAACTTCCCATCCTCCTGCCTCCGCAGTCGGCTATTTTTATTATAATATGTCGTTGTTTTTGCTCATTCCTCGTTTGAGGTGATTAGAGTCTCCTCCGACTCGAATCCCTTACACTGCCTATTGCTTGCTCCTCGCCTGTTTTCCGTTATCATTTCACCATCACCTTCCAAATCACCAGACTAGGAATGAGCCAGGGCGCGGCGCCGATAACATTTGTCCTCAGCGAGCCGCCGTACCCCACCGGTAGCTGCGTCTGTTCCACTCCCTGAGGCGCGAGCGTCGCAGGGGGCGGAACTGCGCGCTCCGCCCACCGTGCGTCGGTGCGTGTGTCCGGCCCCCGCGATCTCTCGAGCTGCCCGGGAGCTCACACCCGGCTTTTCTCCAGCCTCACTCCGCGCACAGCCGTCGCCGTCATGCTGGCCGCTGCTCTCCGCCGCTGCGCCGTGGCAGCAGCAGCCGCCAGAGCCGGCCCCCGAGGCCTCCTGCACCCTGCCTCGGCTCCCAGTCCCGCCGCCGGTAAGGCCCGCTCCTGTCACTGGCCTCGCCCGCGTGTCCTTGCGGTGACCTGGGCCCCCGCCGCCACTTGAGGGCAGGCTCTCCCGGCGGCCTAGCCTCTGTCCTGCGGACTGGCGGGCGAGCCCTATGACCGCAAACCGCTCTCGGTTCTACCTTGAGTTATGGTGGACTTGAGGATGAGCTCCTGGGGCCTCCCTCAGTGCAACTTCCTGGCGCCGGCACCGTGATGGGTCAGGTGTGGACCTGCTGGGGGCGTCCTGCAGGGACGCAGCATTCCACTTCACTACCCAGGCGGTGACTGTGTCCCGACGCCGACCCCGCGGCCACCTGACCGGGAGTGGCCGTTGCCGGCCTGCAGCGCCTTGACGAAGGTGACATTGAACCTTTGGGCGCGCCACTAGGGCAGGGGTCGGGGTGCGCCGGCGGCCCCCAGCGTCTCTTAGAACACTGTATAGTTTTTTCCTTAATCAGGCGGATCACTGCTAGCGTTTTGTGTGTCACCTTCACTGCGCACACAGTCATGTTTAGGTATGTTGAGCCACGTTCTAATTCCTTCACATTTAAAATAGCTCCTTGTGTGTGACTGTAGTCTGAAAGACAGCCTGAGAAACTGATACGTGTTACAAATATATATGTATATATGTGTGTATACACACACACACACACACACACATTACTGTTTCGAGAATTGAGTAACACAGACCCAGGAGTACTGAGTTTTGCAAACATGGGAACGCTTTGTAGCCTTTTATCCCCCTTTCCGTTTAGAAGTCTGGTTGTTGGAGCATAAAATGTATTGTTAATTCTTGTCTCTTATTTTTCCTTTCCCTTATGTGTGTTATGGAAGATTTTGTGTCTTTTTTTTTTTTTTTTTCCTAATTGGCATTGAACCCAAGGGCACTCTACCACTGAGCTACATCCCTAGTCCTTTCTATTTTTGATTTTGAGATAGGGTCTCGCTAAATTGCTGAGATTGACCTCGAATTTGGCGATCCTCCTGCCTCAGCGTCACTGGAATTACATACAGGCACGTGCTACTGTGCTCGCTCAGCACTATACGTTTTTTTTAAACCTTTTTTTTTTTTTTAATATTTATTTCTTAGGTGTAGATGGACACAATGCCTTTATTTTTATGTGGTGCTGAGGATCGAACCCGGGTCGCACCCGCACTAGGTGAGCGCTCTACCGCTGAGCCACAATCCCAGCCCCAGCACTATACTTTAATTATAGTAACTACACTTGAATCTTGGCTCCTGGTGGTAGTATATACTATATTATGAAATTTGTGCCCTATGCATGCATATTTAAACATAAAAACTTTGAAATTCAAAATTAAAAACGTTTTCTTGGTAACTTAAGATATTTTAACTAGACACTTGAGAATCTAAAGAATATTTTTGGTTTCATTCAGTTTAGACTTTTTTTTGTAAAGTTTCATAGAATGATAAGGCTGGAGTTCACTTAAGAGACCATGGAGGGCTGGGGCTGTAGCTTAGTGGCAGGGCACTGTTCAATCTGGTAAAAATAAATAAAGGCATTCTGTTTATCTGAGTACAAAAATTTTTTTAAAAAGAGATACCATGGAGATAATCACATACAAAAGAGGAAACTGAGACCTACCTCTAGAAACTGACTCCTTCAGTAATGGGGGAAATATTTTGTTTCTTAGCCATAGTTGTTAGGTTTGACCCATGGTGATGTTTCATGTTTTTTTTTTTTTTCCTTATTTAATTGTTAAAGTAGCAAATATTTTTTTTATTTTTTTTTTCATGTAAATAACGCTTCAGGAGGTTTCTCTTGACCTCTTCAAAAAAATTTCTTGAAACAAATGAGTTTCTACTTTTTCTTTGGGAAATGGCACAGGTTTTTGGCAAACTGTAGCCTAAGGAGATTTCTTCTTTGTGGTTTGTCTCAGATATTCTGTTCATCCTCCTGAGTATAATGAATTCCTAAACCAAGGGCTTTATTTTAGGTGTTTGTCCCATATACCTAAATATTAGCCACAAGGAGGCAGTATCAGTACAAGTGGTGTCGGCTACTTTTTATCTGTGACCTTGGACATGTTCATTAACTTTAAGCCTCAGTTGCTTCCTTTCTAAAATCAGGATAATTTTTGGTATTTAAATGAGATTTAACTCATTTAAATAACTTGTCACCTTAAATAACTTGTCACCTTGCCTGACACAAATATTTAATACAGTCATGCCTTGTTTAAGGATTAAATAAGGTCTGAAATGCCTCAGCCTTAGGCAATTTTGTGAGACTATCATAGAGCATATTTATTCAAACCTAGATAGTATGGCCTACTACACACCTATATTATATGTATGGTGTAGTCCATTTTGAAGCTTAAAATCATTCACTGAAACATTGCTATGCAGTGCATGAATTGTAGCTTTATAATAGTGAATTTTATTTTTGCATATAGTAGGTTGAGATTTGTTATCAGTATGAAACTGTAGAGGTCTAACTCAAGTGAAAGTCAAGAAGAAGTAAGTTTCTTTTGTATTTATTTTTTATTTTATTAAAATATTTGTTGATTGATCTTTATTTATGTATTTTATTTATTTATATGTGGTGCTGAGACTCGAACCCAGTGCCTCAACGCATGCCAGGCAAGTGCGCTACTACTGAGCCATAACCCCAGCCCTTATTTATTTTTTAGAAGTAAGTTTTTTAATTGAGGCTATCCAAGGTCAAATGAGAGTATGTTTGAAAGAGAAATTTTGAGGGGTTGGCCTGAGAAGCCTTAGGTAACAGCTTAAATCTGGTCCATGAAGAAGATTCCAGTTTGAAACCTAATTGTTTCCCAATAATTGCAAAATTAGGTGATTTAATGTTTTAAATAATGGTTAAATTCTGTAGTCAACTCTTAAAATCCTGACTCCTGTATCCTTTTCCTGAGAGCTGCAGAAGGCTCAGAAGGGTTAGAATTGGGCTGAATTTAAACAACACTTTCCAACTGCTTTTTTGTACCGCTCCCACATTTCCAGGTTCTCAACTTGAGGCTCTCAAGATCCATGCCTGGTCTTCAACCTTGCTTTGTCAACATCATCAAAACCTTGCTGTTGGGCTGGGAATGTAGCTCAGTGGAAGAGCGCTTACTGGTTTCCTTAGTACCCCATAAAAATAAATAAATAAAATAAAGGCATTGTGTCTGTCCATGTTCAGCTCCCTCCCCCCAAAAAAACTTGCTCTTGAACTTGTTATTGTTCTCTCCACATTATATGTTGCCATCCTTAATTCCTAGAATTACTACCACCAAAATGACCATTCCCTCAGCTTTGTCTGAGCTGATTAGTTATTAAACAGAAAGCCAACTGTGTGGTGAGGGTGGTGGTTTTTTAAATAGAGCACATAACTGAAGCAATGTTCCTAAGAGCTTTTTTTTTCTTTTCTTTGTTTTTAATATTTTTAAAAATTGTATACAGACACAATAACTTTATTTTATTATTTATTTTTATGTGGTACTAAGGATTGAACCCAGTGCCTCTCGTATGCTAGGCAAATGCTCTACCAGCTGAGCTACAACCCCAGCCCTCATAAAAGCTTTTTTAAAATGTTCCCATTTTTGGTCAGGCATAGTGGCCTGATTACACCTGTAACCTACTTAGGATACTGAAGCAGAAGAGTGGCAAGTTCAAGTTCAGCCTCACCAATTTAGTGAGACCCTGTCTCAAAATGGAAAATAAAAAAGGCTGATGGTAAAGCTCAGTGGTAGAGTGCCCCTGGTTTCAATTCCCAGTGGTGGTGGGGTGACAGTGTTCTCATTTTTCATAGTTGCTTCCCCTTTTCAGGTTATATCAAAGAATTGAATAGTTGTTTTCTAATATTTTGCCTTTCAAGCCTCAAAACTAGGTGGAAATGTTGTACTTAAGTATTGTTGTGGTGGGATGCCTATATAATTTCCCTAAAAAAATGTTACATATGTAGGGGACATGTCTATAGCTAACAAAATAGATCTGTTCTACTGGAGTTAGAAACATAATTTTGTTATGGAGCAGAACTGTTACCATGCATGGGCAAGAGGGTGGACTCCATTGCTCATTGTACTCCACTATGAACCCACTCTCCCCCTGCGGTAATAGTTCCCCCACCCCAAGTAACAGTTTAAACCAAGTGGGAGAAGTCAGTTTTTGCCTTCCTGGAAGAAATGTATAGTCGCAGTACATGCTTGTATTATTCCAAACAAATGTTTTATGAAAGTTTTTTTTTTTTTTTTTTGCGTATAACTAGTTTGTAATTTGACTACATGAAAAGAGGTGATTGAATCATTCAGGGTCATGCTTTCCTTTACTTGAATTTATGGTTTTGCTGCTCATCTATTTCAGAGTTAGAAAAACAAAGCTAGGACTCATCTAGTCAAATTCATGCCTAGCAATAAAGGAAAGGAATTGGTTACTATGAAACATTTTATTTTTCTGGGTAAAAGGAAAGTTAAGTTTAATACTTAACTCTGGGAAGGAAGTCCATATACTTTCATTTTTCATGAGTAAATACTTAAGAGTGGTTTACTGTGTTATATGGTAGCTGTGTGTTTAATTTGATAAGAAATTGCCTAGTCTTCCAAGGCAGTTGTATCTTTTTTTTGTATCATTCTTTATATTTGCACTTTTAAGCATTCAAGGATAATTTTAGGTTTTATTGTTTTAACTTTAGTTTTCAAAAAATGTAGCATGCAAATTCTTTTTCTTTTTAATTTAATTTTTTTGCAGTGCTGAGAATTGAACCCAGGGAGACTCTGCCACTGAGTTACGTCCCAACACTTTTTATTTTTATTTTTATTTATTTATTTATTTATTTTTCAGCTGTACACAGTACCTTTATTTTGTTTGTTTATTTATTTTTTTTTTTTTGTGGTGCTGGGGATTGAACCCAGGGCCTTCTGCATGCAAGGCAAGCATTCTACCAATTGAGCTAAATCCCCAGCCCCTTTGTTTGTTTATTTTTATGAGGTGCTGCTGATCAAACCCAGGGCCTCACACGTGCTAGGCAAGCGCTCTACCACTGAGCCACAACCCCAGCCCCATTATTTTTTATTTGAGACCAGTTTTGTTGAGTTGGCCAAGCTTACCTCAAATTTGATCATTTTTCCAAATAGCTGAGTACAGGTGTGTGCCATTGCACCTGGCACATAGATTTTTTAAAAAGGTAAACCAATGTAAGTATACATTGTAGATTCACTTCAGAACTAGCGTGGACTTTCTCTTATTTATTTATTTATTTATTTTTTTGGTGCTTGGGATTGAACCCAGGCATGCTTTACCAATAAGCTATGTTCCCAACCCTTTAAATTTTAAATTTTGAGACAGAATCTCCCTAAGTTGCTGAGGCTGGCCTTGAACTTGTGATCCTCCTGCCTTCTGAGTTGGTGGGATCACAAATGTGCACCACTGTGCCTTGTTTACTTTTTTATTTTTTTGAGACAGAGTTTTAACCTGTTTCCCAGGTTGGACATTCTCAGTCCTTTTTATTTTATTTTGAGACGGAATCTTGCTTTGTTGCCTGGGCTAGTCTTGAAGTTTTAATCCTTTTGGCTGAGCCTCTTCCATAGCTGGGAGTATAATTGTGAGCCACTGGTATCCTGACCCAAAATTCTTTTTCATTAGAAATTAATACCGTTCATGGTAAAAATTCAAACAGTATGGAGATATATATAGAAAGTTTTGCCCGGTGCTGTGGCACACTCCTATAATCCCAGCTACTTGGGAGACACTGAAGAAAGTTTTCCTCTCCCAACTATCGTTAACGATTTCTTTCTTTCTTTCTTGGTACCTGGGATTGAACTCAGGGGTGCTTAATCACTATATCCCCAGCACTTTTTATATTTTATTAAGAGACAGGGTCTTGCTAAGTTGCTTAGGGCCTTGTTAAATTGCTGAGGTAGGCTTTGAACTTGTAGTCCTCCTGCCTCAGTTTGTACAGCTTCTGAGATTATAGGCATTTGCCACCACACCCAGGTAACAATTTCAAGCTAGCATTACACATTAGAGGCAGGAAGCATAAATGTACTCATAAAATACTTTTTGTTCTACTTGCTTTTCTTCGCTTAATTTATTTTATTTTATTTTTTTAGATATAGATGGATTCTGTACCTTTATTTTATTTGTTTATTTTTATGTGGTGCTGAAGTTTGAACCCAGTGCCTCAAATGTGCCAAGCAAGCACTCTACCATTGAGCTACAACCCCAGCCCCTCTTTGCTTAATTTTTAAGATACCTTTTTATATCAATACACAAGATTTATTTCATTTGACCTGTTGGATTTTTTTTTTTTTAAATATTTATTTTTTAGTTTTCGGCAGACACAACATCTTTGTTGGTATGTGGTGCTGAGGATCGAACCCGGGCCGCACTCATGCCAGACGAGCGCACTACCGCTTGAGCCACATCCCCAGCCCGGATTTTTTTTTTTTTAAACCACAATATATAGTTAATTCAAAACTCAATGCATTAGCCAGGCGTGGAGGTGCACTCCTGTAATCCCAGAGGCTTTGGAGGCTGAGGCAAGAGGATCCCAGGTTCAAAGCCAGCCTAGGCAACAGAGCCCAGGGCCTAAGCACCTTAGTGAGACCCTGTCTCTAAATAAAAAATAAAAAAGGGCTGGGGATGTGGCTCAGTGGTTAAGCACCCTTGAATTCAATCCCCGTACCAAAAAAAAAACAATAAACCCTCAATGCATTAGACAAAATATGTCAAATACTGTTTTTGTACATTAAACTCATTGCTCTTTCTCCATTGTAGCAATCCCGTCAATTCGCTGCTATTCCCATGGGTCCCATGAGACAGACGAGGAGTTTGATGCTCGCTGGGTGACATACTTCAATAAACCAGATATAGATGCCTGGGAATTGCGTAAAGGTAATTGGGACATAGACATATTTGTCTATTTTGGTAGTATAATTGTGAGCCACTGGTATCCTGACCCAGATACAGACTTTTTCCACTACTTTGTTGAAAGTAGCTATTTTTGAAAACATGCATCATATAAACTGGTTACAGTCGTGCAATTTGCAGTTAGGAAAGTTTATAGCTTCTGTGGTATTTCGTGTAAAGTAGAGTTTAAAAGCGGGCACTATGGACATTTGAGTTAGATAATTCTTTATTGTAGGGGGCTGTCCTTTGTACTACAGAGTGTTTTAGCACCATCCTTGACCTACCCATTATTTACATATACACCTGCAGTTGTGAAAACCAGAAATATCTCCAGATACTGCCTAATGTCTCCTGAGTGATAAAATCACCCCTAATTGAAAGCCACTGTTATAAAGATAGCACTAGCTGAGTGTAGTTAACAATTTTGTACTTTTTAGATAATTTACTTAAGCAGTTATTGGTTCTCTTGCCCTTTGGGGTAATAGTTTGAGTTTTTTGTAATTCTTGTCATGAATGGTTTTGCCCTGAATAAGAATCTAGTCTGAATAGGACTTAAAACTTTTTTTTTTAAGCTGCAGTTTTGTATTTAATGATAAATAAGTAGCATTAATGATAACTAGTCACTAATTGTAAGTATACTATAATTTTAACTCAGTCCAGATTGTTTTTCCAATAGAATCTGTTTCAAAGCATCAAAAATAATCTATATTGTTAAAGATCTGAGTTGAAAATAACCCTCTTGTTTCAAGAGAAAATGATAATTACAATGAAAACAGTGTTTACATGTAAGAAAACTCAGGTTTTAGCCAGGTGCAGTGGCTCATGCCTTTAATCCCAGCTACTTAGAAGGCAAAGGCAGGAGGACCACAAATTTAAATCCAGTTTGGTCAACTCAGTGAGATCCTGTCCCAGAAATGGGTGGGTGGTAGTGGGGAATGGCAGAAGATGTGGCTTTTGGTGAGGGCTCAAGTTTAATTCCTGGTACCAAAAATAATCATATGTCATGATTCAACAAGGATATAGATACTAAATATTAGTCTAAGTGAGGGTATTCCAGTTTGACATGGCCCTCTTTTTAATTTGACAGGAATGAACACTCTTGTTGGCTATGATCTGGTTCCAGAACCCAAAATCATTGATGCTGCTTTGCGAGCATGCAGGCGGTTAAATGATTTTGCTAGTGCTGTTCGTATCCTAGAGGTTGTTAAGGTCAGTGAAATAGCATTGTTAATATTGTTCTAGAAGTGGGTGAGCTGTTGATCAGGTATTAATATTATGTTTTCTAATTTGTTGAACTATCCAAAACAGTGGGAATGTACTTTGTAGTTAAAATTTATCCAAGGAGTTGGGGAAATAGCTCAGTTGGTAGAGTGTTTGCCTTGCATGCAGAAGGCCCTGGGTTCTAATCCCCAGCATCATTAAAAAAAAAAAAAAAATTACCCAAGGCTTTAAAAACTGCATGATAGGGGGCTGGGGTTGTTGCTCAGTGGTAGAACGCTCGCCTAGCATGCATGAGGCACTGGATCCTCAGCACCACATAAAAACAAAATAATGTGTCTGCCTAAAAAACTAAAGATATATAAATAAATAAATCTTTTTGCTACTTGTAGTATGAAAATAAACGTTGCTAATGGTTTCTTGAGGTGAGATTGCCAGAATAGGTTATTACTACTATTAATATTTTAGAAATGTGTTTGACATGAAACACATTCATGGTATTAACTGGAGAAAGTTATGAAACAGTGTTTGTGGTTTGATTTCATTTTATTTTATTTTTAAAAAAAGAGAACTCGTATATGAAAATGTAGCAGCATATATGCTAATCCCCCCTTCCTATTGGTTATTGTTTCTGGGGTTTTTGTTTGTTTGTTTGTTTGTAAAGAACAAATACTGTTCTATTTATTTATTTATTTTAAAAACTTATTTTTTAATTGTAGTTGGACACAATATCTTTATTTTATTCATTTATTGTTATATGGTGCTGAGGATCGAGCTTAGGGCCTCGTACATGCTAGGCGAGTGCTGTACCATTGAGCCACAACCCCAGCTCCAAATACTGTGTTTCAAATCAGAATTTTTAAAAAATTTTTTTGTAGTTGTAGATGGACAGAGTGCCTTTATTTATTTTTATGTGGTGCTGAGGATCAAACTTGGTGCCTCACATGTGCTAGACAAGTGCTCTACCACTGAACTATACAGCCCCAGCCCACAAACCAGAATTTTAATTAAAAAATATATATATACAATTAAGGAGACTTAGAATTTGCCAAAGGCAGTTTGGCATTTTCTTAGTTCATTTGACTCTTTAATATTTGCTCCTGAGAAACTTTGTGGCAATATAAGCATAATTATATATTTGTCAAAATTCTCTGGCCCTGGACATATATATTCTTTGTGTACAGCTTTCCATGAAAAAATATTATGGCCTGTAAGAAATTCAAAGTCTGTAAGGGGAAAAGTGACATACTTTATCTATAATGGGTAAGATAATTAAGGGTTCTGTAGGCTATCAATCCGTTTAGCACTGGTAGTTAATTCAGTTAGAGTCTCAAATTGGATGCAAATTAAAAAACTTTTTTCCTGTGTTAACTTAATTTTTCCTGTTGCCTGCTGGGCATGTTTAATTATCTTACAAAAATTGTCATCACCATTTTTTTTTTTTTTTTAAGAATCCAGGGGCCCTTAACCACTGAATCACATTCACAGCCCTTTTTATTTTTTATTTTAAGACAGGGTCTTGATAAGTTGCTTAGGGCCTGACTAAGTTGCTGAGACTGGCCTCACCACATTCTTTCCCAGTAATTCCAGGCTTTAAAATGTTTGGGTTTTTTTTTTTATTTGTTTGTTTGTTTTCTGGATTTAGTCTTATTATCTTTGTTATTCTCAAAATATCTTTAAAACCTACCTCAAGCCAGATGCAGTGGCACATACCTCTAATTCCAGCTACTCAGGAGGCTGAGGCAGGAGGATTGCAAGTTCAAAACCAGTCTCAGCAACTTAGGCCCTAAGCAACTTAGCAAGATCCCTTCTCAAAATAAAGAATAAAAAGAATTTGGGGGCCGGGGTTGTGGCTTAGTGGTACGGCACTTGCCTAGCATGCGTGAGGCACTGGGTTCGATCCCCGGAACCATGTAAAAATAAAAAATATGCCCATCTACAACTAAAACAAAACAAAACAACAACAACAAAAAAAAACAAGGATTAGGGCTGTGGCTCAGTGGTAAAGTGCCTCTGGATTGAATCCATGGTACCAAAACAAAACAACCAAAAAAAAAACTACCTCAAGGTGTAGAGGTTGTAGCTCAGGAGTAGAGTGCTTGCCTCAAATGTGTGAGTCCTTGGGTTTCATCTCCAGTGCTAGGAAAAAATTAATAAATAAAAGCTACTTCGAACAGTACTTGTGTAAGTTGTCCTCTTCATTGACAAATGTGTTGCTGTAAAAGTTGATGATCTGTGTTTAACTATGCCACTAGACTGCATATATTATAAAAGCTTTTCAACTTAATTTTGTTAATAAAGACAGCTTTTTTTTCAGACAGTTAAATGTCAATATTCTCTACCACCAGGACAAAGCAGGACCTCATAAGGAAATCTACCCCTATGTCATCCAGGAACTTAGACCAACTTTAAATGAACTGGGAATCTCCACTCCAGAGGAACTGGGCCTTGACAAAGTGTAAATCCCCATGGGTAAGCGGCACACCAGTGACCAAGGCAGGAGAAGAAACCAGGGAGGGGCAAGTGAATGTCATTCAGGGCTCTCAAAGCACTTATTCTTGCTTCAGGTAGTATCCACTAACATATAGATTTAGAGAGTATCACAATGATGATAAATTTAAGGAACTGAAATTATTTTTTATAGTTATTATTCTCTAAGTGGTGTAAAGTCAAGCAAAAGCCTCCTTCACTTAAGTATCTATGTAAACTGTTTCAAGCACAAAGAATAACAGATAGCTAGGCACGGTGGGCATGCCTGTAATCCCAGCAGTAATCCTGATCACAAGTTCAAAGCCAGCCTCAGCAAAAAAGTGGAGTGCTAAGCAACTCAGTAAGACCCTGTCTCTACATAAAATACAAAGTTGGGCTGGAGGGGCTGGGGATGTGGCTCAAGCGGTAGCGCGCTCGCCTGGCGTGCGTGCGGCCTGGGTTCGATCCTCAGCACCACATACAAACAAAGATGTTATGTCTGCTGAGAACTAAAAAAATAAATATTAAAAAAATTAAAAAAAAAAAAAAAAGTAGGGCTGGGGATGTGGCTCAATGGTTGAGTGACCCTGAGTTCAATCCCCAGTATACCCCATCCCCCGCCACCAAAAAAAAAAAAAGAATAACATCATAACAGCAAGTCCATGTGCCACACCTAAATTTTCAGATATTATTTTGCCCTGTTTCCTTTGTGTTTTTAGTTTTTCCTCTAAAAAATGACCAGTTTCACAAAGAGTTAGAGCCCTTTGTGTGCCCTTAATTTTTCAGTAGCAGACTTAATGACACTTCCGTTTTGGTGGGCCCCATAGATTTAATAATTAAATACCTACTATTTAGTAATAAAATTTATTTGGTAACCTCATTCTCTGGAAAGACAGAGCAATCAAAACAGTCACAAGATTGTCTAAGCAGTGAACAGGGTACAGAAAATCCTTTGTTAAAACAGAAAATTTATAAGCAGTAACTTGTTTAATTTTTTAAATTTTGGGGGGTACTAGGGATTTATCCCAGGGGTAATTTACCACTGAGTTATATCATCAACCCTTTTTATTTATTTTGAGACCAGGTATCACTAAGTTGTTGAGGTTAGCCTTGGACCTGTGATCCTCCTGCCTCAGCCTCCCTAGCTGCTGGGATTACAGGCATGTGTCACTGCATCTGGCTTTGTTTTTATTTTATTTAACAAACACATATGGTGTAAATAGCTTTTACTGTTCCAGACAGTGTGCTGTACATTCTCTCTTTTTAAATCCATTTAATTACTGTAATAATCCTGCGAGGTAGTTACTATTGGTATAATTATTCCCATTTTACTGAAGAGGAAACTGAGGCACCTTGGCCATGGTCATACAGTTAGTGGTGTGAACCTAGGCAGTCTGGCCTAGAGGCCATTGCTCTTACTCACTAAGCCATGCATGTTGTGCAGATACTTTGGTACTGGGCATTTACCAAGGCCAGACTCCTGTTTCTCAAATGTAAATAATGAGGCTCAAATAGAGGATTTTTTTCCCCTAAAAGTAAGAAGACATTTATTTTTAAAAAGTGGCACTAAAATGTGTCATTAAAATTTCAAAATGAGTGGATCCAAAGTTATTTAAAGAGCTTATGTTGGCTGGGCACGGTTATCACCTGTAATCCCAGTACCTTGGAAGGCCAAGGCAAGAGGATTGCAACTTCAGGACCAGCTTAGTGGTTAGGTGCTCCTGGGTTAAATCCATAATACAAAAAAAATTTTTAAAGGCTGGGAGTGTAGCTATGCCTGTGATCCTCCCAGTTTGGGAGGCTAAAGCAGGAGTATCACAAATTTGGGGCCAGCCTCAGCAATTTAGTGACACCCTGTCTCAAAATGAAAAAGGGCTGGAGATATAGCTGTGTGATAACAAACTCCTAGGTTCAATTCCTAGTACTGCAAAAAAAAAAAAAATTTGGTTTATTTATTTTTTTAAGTGCAACTGTCATATTCTTTTCTAACTGAAAAAGAAGACTGTTCAGTTTACATATGATATAAATTATGAAAATGCCATAAAGCAAGCTCTTGTGACGTGACTGGGACAAAATTAAGAGCAAGCAGAAAAGGCTACAGAAAGCCAGGTGCAGTGATACACGCCTGTAATCCCAGTGTTTTGGGAGGCTGAGACAGGAGGATCAAGAGTTCAGAGCCATCCTCAGCAATAGTGAGGTGCTAAGCAACGCAGTGAGACCCTGTCTCTACATAAAATACAAAGTAGGGCTGGGGATGTGGCTCGGTGGTTGAGTGCCCTCCGAGTTCAATTCCTGGTACCAAAAAAAAAGGCTACAGAGAGTAGTTTGCCAGGCTATAGTTCTAAAGGTTATTTTAAATAAGATTTCTATCTTTTCTTAATTTTTTCCATTGCTAATTCTTTGTGTTTTCTCTTACAGATGGTCTTCCCAAGGATTTATTCGTATTGCTACTTGATTGTAAACAGTTACCTGGAAATGCTGATGATAACATATTACCTTATTTGAACAAGTTTTCCTTTATTGAGTACCAAACCATGTGATGGTAACTTGGACTAATAAAAGGGAAATGAGTTTGAACTGAAATTAGGTATTATTCCATTGTTTGCATTGAGAAACAACATGAAATGCTATGGGGGCCTACATGAGGGAATAGGTGACTTCTGAGGAAATGACTTTTTTTGTTTTTTTACTGGGGATGTGGCTCAGTGGTTGAGAACTCAGGGGCACTCGACCACTGAGCCACATCAGCAGCCTTATTTTGTATTTTACTTAGAAACAGGGTCTCATTGAGTTGCTTAGGGCCTTGCTGTTCCTGCAGCTGGCTTTGAACTCAGGATCCTCTTGTCTCAGCCTCCCGAGCTGCTGGGATTCCATGTGTGCACCATTGCGCCCCATAGGAGATGACTTTAAAGTTGAAGCCTAGGTTGGGGAAAGAGTGGTGTTTGTTTGTTTGTTTATTATCAATAGACCTTTGTTTTATTTATTTATATATGGTGCTGAGAATCGAGCCCAGTGCCTCACACATTCTAGGCAAGTGTTCTTCCTCTGAGCTGCAAACCCAGCCCTAGAGTGTTAATTCTTTTTTTTTTTTTTTATGTTTATTTTTTAGTTATAGGTGGACACATATCTTTATTTTATATTTATGTGGTGCTGAGTATTGAACTTAGTGCCTCACGCATGCTAGGCAAGCGCTCTACCTCTGAGCCACAACCCCAGCCCTAGAGTATTAATTCTTGATCCAAAAAAATAATTTTAATTATTGTGTGATGTTTGGCCTTTGTACCATTGGAGTGAGTTTTTGTTTGTTTGTTTGTTGTTTTTTAATAGTTTCTATATGTGTATAAGTAATCACATTTAAATTTGCTTTAGTAACCAAAATATAAAGGATTTACCATAACTAGCTAAGAGGGACCTTGTCAGTCTTCTGGGCTCTTAATAGGTGACAGGAGGAATGCAAAATCAATTAATGGTCTGTTCTCATGGTCATGGGAGGGCACATAGGTTCACAAGTACTTTACAAAGGTGAAATAAGTGTTATGATGGTCTTCATGCTATAAACGTTTGTTGAATGCCTTCCACATACCAAACATATGCCAAGACACTGAATGCAGAGCAATGAATAGGAAAGACAGAACTAAAAGTGGGAAAAACTGGATAGGGAAGAAAGTTAGTTGTATAGTCCCTTAATGAGGAGTTTGAATTAGGATGGTAGCAGTAGAAATGAAAAAGTTTGAATTTCAAGAATCACATAATGAGGTGTAGTTGATCACTAATTCAATAAGGGGAAACGGGAACTTTGAAAAGGCCTTTTTTGCATGTTTGAGTGAAGATGCCATTATAGGAAGAGTCAATAAAAAGAGGATCTTGGTTCAGGGTGGAGAAGTTGCTATATTTTATTCTGGACCTATTAAATTTCAGGCATCACTGGGCAGGAAGGCCTCAGGTTCTGAAAAGAGACTAGTGAGAAAAACTTAAAGTTTGAAACAAAAAAGGGTAATATTTCCAATGAAAACCATTTGTAGGCAGGTATGAAATAAATTGAAGGCTGACATGTAGAAAGAAGAGAAGCTAACTTTTTTTTTTTTTTTAAGTTTATGGACACAGCACCTTTATTTATTTATTTTTATATGATGCTAAGGATTGAACCCAGTGCCTCAGATATGCTAGGCAAGCACTCTACCACTGAGCTACAACCCCAGCCCACCTTTTTTTTTTTTTAATATTTATTTTTTTGTTTTAGGTGGACACAATATCTTTTATTTATTTTTTTGTAGTGCTGAGGATCGAACCCAGTGCCTCGCGCATGCCAGGCCAGCGCGCTACCACTTGAGCCACATCCCCAGCCCTGCCAACTTTTTTTATTATAGAAAATTTCAAACATTGAGGGCTGGGGTTGTGGCTCAGAGGTAGAGGGCTCGCCTACCATGTGTGAGGCACTGGGTTCGATCCTCAGCACCACATAAAAATAAAATAAAGATATTGTAAAAGAAAAAGAAAATTTCAAACATTGACATTGATATAGTAGTAAAAATCCCCATGGACTCCATTACTGTACTTCAGCAGATAACAGTCCTAGCCATTCTTTTTTTCACCTATAGCCTTCACCCTCACCCAGCTCCAAATACTTAAAATTAAATCTCACATCTCCTTTGATCTGTAGGCAAATATTTTAGAATATCTCAAAAGTATGTGTTTTTTGTTTTTGTTTTTTTTTGATGGTATAACTATAATAAAGAAGCACTGTTAACTTTTTTTTTCCTCGGAGTACTGGGGGTTAAATCCAGGGCACTCTCTATCACTGAGCTACATCCACAACCCTTTGTATTTTGAGAATCTCATTAAGTTCTCAGGCTGGCCTTGATCTTAGGATCCTCATGCCTTAGCCTCCCAAGTTGCTGAGATTACACGTGTGTCACCATGCCTGGCATAGATAGATAGATAGATAGATAGATAGATAGATAGATACACACACAAAGATATCTATTACTATACAAAGATATCTAGTAATCTTGAGACACAAACACACATACATACACACCAGGGATTGAACCCAGGGGTACTTAACCATTGAGCCACATCCCCAGCCTGCTGCCTTTTTGTTTAATTTTTTTGTAGTTATAGATGCACAGAATGCCTTTTTTTATTTATTTTTATGTGGTGCTAAGGATCGAACCCAGTGCCTCCACACATCCTAGGCAAGCACTTTACCACTGAGCTACAGCACCAGCCCTTCTTATATTTTATTTATAGACAGGTTCTCACTAAGTTGCTTAGGGCCTCGTTAAGTTGCTGAGGTTGGCTTTGAACTTGTAATCTTCCTGACTCACACTCTCAAGCCACTAGGATTACAGGTGTGCACCACTGCTCCTGGCACTTATGTGTTTTTGCAGGCTGTTTCACAACTCTGTTCTTTTCCTCTTTGCTAGGTCAAGATTAAATAGATAGTTTTCTATATTGATAAGTGTGTGTCTTGTACTTTTTAATGGGCATAATATGCCATAGTAGAGGGGATTTTCTTTGTGAAAGGGTCTCACTATGTTGCGCAGAATGGTCTCAAACAGTCTTCTCGTCTCAGCTTCTAGAGGTGCTGGGACTGTACAGGCATTCCCTACCATACCCAGCTTTTCTGAATAGAGGATTTTTTTTTTTTTTTTTTTTTTTGCTACAAGGGATTGAACTCGGTCGTTTTACCGCCAAGCCACATTCCCAGCCGTTTTTATTTTTTTTAATTTTGAGACAGGATCTCACTAAGTTGCTTAGAGTCTGGCTAAATTGCTGAGACTGGCTTTGAACTTGTGATCTTCCTGCCTCAATCTCCCAAGTCACTTGGATTACAGGTGTGTATCACCACACCTGGCTTGAAAGGAGGAATTTTTTTTTAAAGTATTTTTAGTTGTAGATGTAAATTATTTATTTATTTTCATGTGGTGCCAAGGATCAAATCCAGTGTCTCACACGTGTTAGGCAAGTACTCTACCACAGCCTGAATGGAGGATTTTTTTAAAAAAAATATTTATTCACAATACCTTTATTTCACTCATTTATTTTTTACGTAGTGCTAAGGATCGAACCCAGGGCCCTGCGTGTATGAGACAAGCGCTCTACTGCTGAGCCACAACCCCAGCCCCAAATGGAGGATTTTTTTTTTTTAATTTTTTTTTTAAACATTTGTTGATTGACCTTTATTTATTTATTTTATTTATATGTGGTGCTGAGACTCGAACCCAATGCTGCACACATGCCAGGCAAGCATGCTGAGCCATAACCCCAGCCCCCAAATGGAGGATTTTTAAAAGTAATTTTTGTTAGAATTTCATGACATTAATTTCCAGGTGCATGCCTATAATCCCAGCGACTCAGCAGGCTTGGGCAGGAGGATCAACAAGTTTGAGGCTAGCCTGGGCAATTTAGTGAGATCTTGTCTCTATGTATAATTTTAAAAATAGGGTTGGAGATCTAGAGTAGCATGTATGAGGGTTAATCTCCAACATCACAAAACAAATGAAAAACCAGCTGAAGTTAAAGAGCATATGATGGTCAACAAATGATAGTTTTTCTTCACTTAAATTGGGGGAGGTTGAAGCCAAGTTATAGGAGGTGAAGGAGTGAGCTTAGGTAATGAAAATGGTTTGAAAGATTGTAAAGGTTGAAGAAAGCATTGATGTTTCTTTTACCAGCTGAAGATTTAGTGTATAGCTGGACAGATATGATAAATGGAACGTGGTGGGTTACTGTTTCCTTTATATCAAGTTCAGTTGAGATTTCTGTATTTTGTTTTGCCTGAGTCTTCTGCTCTACTAGAAACAGATGGATGTCGTGATGTATTTTTTGTCAATGCTGACTTTTAAATTTCTGAAAAGTTGTGGTGGCTACATGTTAGACTTCAAAAATAAGTCATACTTTTTAACTTGCTCACATTATTTTCTTTATGTCTTGGAGGCAAACTATAGCCCATGGGACAAATCTTTCTAGCCCACTACCTGTTTTTGTACTGCTTGCAAGCTAAGAATTATTTTTTGTTTTTAAATGATTGAACAACCAATATCATGTTAAGTGAAAATTATATGAAATTCAGATTCAGTGTTCATAAACAAGATTTTATTGGGACATAGCCACACTCACCTTTTGTATATTGTCTTAGCTACTTTTTTGCTCTTTTTTAAAGTTGTAAAATATAGATAGCACAAAATTTACTATCCATTGTTCAGTGGTATTAATTGAATTCACATTTTTGTGCATTATTTATGGCTGCATTTACATTCCATTGACAGAGCTGAAGAGTTGGGAGGAGACGGCATGATTCACAAAATAAAAAGTATTTACTGTTTGGCCCTTGGCCAGTTACAGAAAAAGTTTGCCAATCCTTGGTGGGCTGGCAACGTAGCACAGTAGTAGAGCCCTTGGCCTAGTGTACAGATAGACCATGGATTCAATCCCTAGTACCGAACCCACACCCCCAAAAAAGTATTTGCTAATCCTTAATCTAAAATAATAGAAATAATTTTCAAAGTGAGCAGACTTGTAAATCTAAGGCCTATTACTAAGAGACAAAAGTAACAAGTACAATCTATGGATAAATTTCT